ATTTAGAGTGATTTGCCACTCAGAGCTTGTGGAGTGTGAGGGAAACATTAATTCAACAAAATATGTTTCTATATTAAAGAAAGGGCTCCTTCCAATATTCTCAAGTAGTAGAATAAGCAAAGTTCACTCCCTATTCATAGAAGATGGAGCTCCATGTCACACTGCTCAAGCAACGCAATATTGGTTGAGACAAAATGGGATCAATAAACTTCCATGGCCAAGTCAGTCCCCGGATATTAACCCTATTGAACACCTTTGGGGCATATTAGATTGAAAACTCCGCAAAAAGAACAGGAAGCCATCTTCTAAACCCGAACTTTTAGGATTATTGCGTCAAACATAGCAAGAAATCCCTCAAGATGATATTCGTGAACTCATCACTAGCATGCTTAGAAGGGCCCTTGCATTAAAAAAAGCAAAAGGGATGTCAACCAAGTATTAGTTATTAAAGTTATGGCCATTTATAATAACTTCATTTGTATAAATTACTTGTTTGATAAAATAAACGGTTTCTGTGAGCGTCTATTCAATTCTGTCAGGTCTGTGTGTATATATATATATATATATATATATATATATATATATATATATATATATATATATATATATATAATCAATAGATAATTAGTAGGATAATTACAAGGACGGCATTAATGCAAAGATAACTCAAGTAACAGGACAATAAATAATGGAAAAAAAAAGGAAGAAAATATAACAAAGCCTTTCAAGCAAGCTCACGTAATTAAACAGACATCATTATCTAAATTTTCTGTCCGACAATTTCAGAATGTGATTATTTTTCCAAACTATATTTTCAAGTTTCCACACACTACTGAATGACAGAGTATCGGGTGGCAGACTAGTAATTCCCGAAGCAAGGTTATTTACCTTACCTCCCCGCGACGCAGGATGCGGCACAAGGCCGTTTTTAATGGAGGGCAAAACCGACTCCGTAGGCTCGAGCAAAAATTCCCTGTAGACCCCGTAAAAAGTGTGGGACATTACATTACAACATTATTTTTAACGGCCACAATCTTAGGGAGATATGCAGATGACACAGTGTTGATAGCAAACACGAAAAGGAAAGGAAATCTTACAGAAGGAAGGGAAGGAAATCGAGAAGAAAGGACGATGCATCATTTCTGGAAAGAGAGAATGCGTAGTTTCCAGCAAAATGAATGGCCTAATATACAAATTACAGATTGTAGATTCCACAAACCAGTTAAGTATAACAAGTTCATTCTATGGGAAGTGTTGAAACAGAGGCCGAAAGAGACAGTTGAACTATCACGGGAACCCACTTTGCTTAAAGAGATATTTCTTTATATGTATTATACTGGAACATACCTATTCTATTGTTAATAGACTCTTCCACAGATAATAAGTAGTAGTAGTACCAGTCGTCAGGGGGAGCTCAGAGTGAGTTGGTGAGTCAGTGGATGTCGGACATTAAAGTATCAACCACCACAACTAGATTGCTGTGTCATTAACTATTATTTTCCTAAGTTCCTAACGTTTTGTATGTCGAACCCTTTTAGGACCGACTTAGTGAAAATACAAGCCTCCACTGTGAAAACTACTCCACACCAATATGTTACTGACTATTAAATGCAAATATAGAAGAAGATATATTATTAAAAATACAGGAATATATATAATTAGCATTCTAACAACTACTACAAATTCAATATCTGGTAAATATTTTAACCGAGGATGTAAAGGGCAACACGGTTGTGATAGCGAATGGTTGCCCTCCAAACTTTAAAGAAACAGGATAGATTCCTTAGGCAAAAAGAAAAAAGTACTGAAATCTTATGTAATATCGTTACTGCTATATAATCAGTGAATGCTAGACAATATCCGTACAAATGAGGGAGAAAGTTGACGTGATAGAAATGTGTTTCTACAGAAGGATGCTGAGAATAGCAAGGGCCGAGCATGTGTGGAATGACGAAGATTTCGATAAAATGGAAACAAAAAGGACACTTAACACTTAACATCAGACATAGACGGCTGATGTTTCTCGGGCACATAGTGAGGACAGGCGGCTTGGAGAATTTGATACTCAAATGAAGGCAAGAGGGACAGAGGAAAAGAGCGCATAACTGTCCTTTCGAACTTGTGAAAATGGATCGCGAAACGTCTTTTAGTAGAGATAGCAAAACACACATTTCCTAAGCGCTACAAAGGGCTGGAAATTGCGAAGAGATTTATAGCGAATGTCCTTGAAGGACACTGCACATAAAAGAGGATTTATACCATATATATATATATATATATATATATGAATTATTCACACAAAACTAATGCAAAGGTTAATGATTTTAAATGGCGAGACATCCATCGCAAACAATTCAAATATTACACAAAACCTTAGATCCGTTATGAATGAATTGATCCTTGTTCATATAAATTTCTGCCGTATTAGTTGTTATTTTTTACAAGCTTTCGTCTGTTCATACAGACATCTTCAGGTATATAATAGATGGTGTTCTTGTTTTTTTTTTTCTCTTCGTAATAAGAGGACATCGAAAATATATGTATTGTATCCGAAATGCTATTGAAAATGAGATATTGGTTTTGAACGCGCCAAAGCAACGCTGAGTTTGATTTTTGAATTTCTTTTTTTAAAATGTTTGCGTTTATACCAAATATGGTAATGAACAAATTATTTTACTGGTAAATTTTACTGTCAAAGTGGCATGAACTATATTGTTCAATAATTACGACATTACTATAATTATGTGTGAATAATTCATGTATTTGTAAATTGATTGCACGTTTATTGTAATTTAAATAAGTGATCCATGTGCGACTTTTGGTTAATAAGTGCGACATTACTGTAATTATTGAACAATATAGTTCATGCCACTTTGACAGTAAAATTTACCAGTAAAATAATTTGTTATGATATATATGTGTGTGTGTTTCTTTGTGGCGTACGGTGACCGTAAATGGTTAAGTATAACGCAAATAAATACTTAACAAGAACAAAGAAGTAAAAGTCAACCAATGATAAATAACTAATTCAGTGAATACCTTGTTAGTAGCGCGGCTCGTGTGAACGTCCGGTAAATCCTAAATCAAACCCTAAATAATTGACGGACTAGAATTCACACTAATTCGACTGGATAGTTCCACTGAATAGTCACTCAATAATCACCAGGCGGCAAACATATATTCATAAGTCCAGAGTGCTAAGCTCGAACCTCTGTGTCGGTAGTTACTCATTTTATTCCTATATGGAAGCTTTATTCTTTCTTCAGACATCATTATCTAAATTTTCCGTCTGAGAATTTCAAAATATGATTATTTTCCTACACTGTATTTTAAAGTTGCCAATTAAACTTCGCTGTTTGAAACCAGGTATGACGAGTTAAATTGTAAAGTAACGTGAACCGAGTTTGTTTTGATTGAAATTATATATATATATATATATATATATATATATATATATATATATATATATATATAATAAATGGAAAAATATACAAATATATATTAAGACGAAATGGAAAATAAAAAAAGAACGACGTTTTTCACCAAAAGAGATTTCCCTCTCTCTCTCTCTCTCTCTCTCTGGCTTCTTCAGTTTATAATAGACGAAAGAAAACTGTATGTAAGGAAAAATACGTTGGGATATTTGGGGATGTGAAAGCCATGAATCAAATTTAATTTTTGCATCCATAAGCGAATATAGATGTACAAGGGCGTGTAGCTATGTTTCATAGACTACGCAAAGGCCTTCGACAAAGTATGACCCAATGATCTGATGAAATTGCTCAGAAACCTTGATATATTCGGGAGGGATATCAGAATAATCAAGAACCTATACTGGCAGCAAAGAGGACGCATGCGCATAAGGAACGCGTTCAGTGAATATACAAATATAGAAAAAGGTGTAAGGCAAGGATGCGTCTTCTCACCCTAACTGTTCAAACTATACAGTGAGGCAATTCTGAGAGAATTGGAAACCCTACCAGGATTTAGCATTATCAACATAAGATGCGCAGATGACACAGTACTGATAGCAGACACGGAAAGGAAGTTACAAAATCTCCTACAGAAGGTAGCGACGGGGAGTGTGAAGAAGGGACTAAGCATAAACTACAAGAAGACGGAGTGCATGGTCATCAGTAAGAGGATGAGCCCTAAATGCAATTTGTATCTCAAAAACTCTAAAATCAAGCAGACGAGGAAGTTTAAATATCTGGGAAGCGTCTTGACAGAGGACGGTAAGTGCGTCACTGAGATCCGTAGGCGTATTGGGATGGCCAAGTGCACATTCCAAAAGAGTATTGTGAGTATTGGGCAGAGTATTGCATTATGGGATCTTACTCATAATAATAATAATAATGGATTATTCCATACTTAATAAATACTGCTCCGTAGGAGTAGGCAGGGAGTCAGTAGTTCAAGTAGTGTCAGTAGTTCAAATCGAGTCAAGAGTCGAGTCAGAGGCTGTCCGAAACAGAGTCGCGTTCAGACAATTACTGCAAGACATTGGAATAGTGATACTGGTCGAGACTTCATTGTTCTTTCTAATAAACCTGATTGTTCATACTAACACTTCTACTTCTCTGTATATATTCCTGTTTGTAATATATCTGTGTTATTCCATACCTTTGTTTGAGTTCTTCTTTATTGGTTCTACCTTGGACTATCACCGTCGTACAAGGAACCGGACCATAACATATTGTGAGACAAGGACATTTCGTTGGTAACAAAAGAAAGAATACTGAGTTGTTACGTGACATCTGTCCTTCTTTATGGCAACGTATGTTGGACGATTTCATCAAAGATGAAGAAGAGACTCGATGCGATAGAGACGTGGTTCATCAGAAGGATGCTAAGGATATCATGGACCGAGCGAGTGAGCAACGACGAAGTCATAGAGAGCTTGCAAACAAGGCGGAAGCTTATACTTATCATCAGGGAGAGGCGGCTGAAGTTTCAGACACGTAATGAGAAATGAAGGGCCTGGAGAATCTGATACTCACAGGTCGAATAGAGTATAGACAAGAGAAGCAACGCATGACATACATGGCGGGCAAATGGATGACAGAACATTGTTTGGTGTGGGAAGCAGAGGGAAGGTACTTGTTGATATATAGATAGATAGATAGATAGATAGATAGATAGAAGAAGAAGTGCCTGAGATAGATAGATAGATAGATAGATAGATAGATAGATAGATAGATGAAGAGCCTGAGATAGATAGATAGATAGATAGATAGATAGATAGATAGATAGAATATGAACAAGCTTAGATAGATAGATAGATAGATAGATAGATAGATAGATAGAATATGAACAAGCTTAGATAGATAGATAGATAGATAGATAGATAGATAGATAGATAGATAGATAGATAGATAGATAGAAAATGAATAAGCCGAGGAAGATAGATAGATAGATAGATAGATAGATAGATAGATAGATAGATAGATAATGAAAAAGCTGCGATAGATAGATAGATGATGAAGAGCCTGAGGTAGATAGATAGATAATAGACAAGCTTAGATAGATAGATAATGAACAAGCTTAGATAATGAATAAGCTGCGATAGATAGATAGATAATGAACATACCGAGATAGACAATGAAAGTACTGAGATAGATAGTTATCTAGCTAGCTAGCTAGATAGATAGATAGATGAAAGTCATAAAGACAAGTAATATTATTCATATGAAAAAAAGGAAAATTTACTTAAATGAAATTACGCAAAACCTCTATACTTCTAACATCTCCACGTAAACTCTGGAATTTTACTTAATATTTTTTCCTTCAATAGATGTAGATACATTCGCCAATCGTCCGGTTCACACTCCATCCCAATCTTTTGTAGAGGAGTAGAAATTTATCCCTCGTTTCCTGTATATGATTGGGTTTCCGGTTCTATCTAAAGTTTTCACATTATCTTTAATTCCCAATAGCCGCTTGTGTTGCAGTGACAGTATCGCCTTGCTTGGGGGTGAACTGATTTTAAAAAAATTCTTTATATGACCATTCAATAATATAACAATATTTGGCAAAAAACTATATGCATCGCCAAAAAAAAAAAAATCATATTTATAGCTATCGAGCTTAAATGCTCACATACATCTGTAGATTACACATTGTCCATGACAAGTAATATTATGTGTGGAGATAGAGTCAAGTAATTTGACATCACAGTACTTCGTTATAGACAATATTTCTTGTATACCATTGTATCCCAGGGAAGGTTACTGAATAGAATAATCAAACGAAGGTTGGTAATGAACAATAATAGTTAGCGCAAGAACAACGCATATAAGATTCGCCAGCAGCGCGTAGAAGAAGTTAACTGTTAGAAGTGAGTCAAATGAATTCCACAATGAATCATTAACTGCAGGATATCTACCAACCGCCGTACGCGGTCATATGTGCAACAAGGTCGAATTTAATGTAGGGTATTCGAGTCCGGAGGGTCGGCCAGAATTTCCCCGTAGACGCCGTATAAAAGGGGGTCGGGTAGCTGTTTCCCGAGACGTGATTCTGCCCTTTGACATAGCCTCGTCTGGGGATCCTCTCTGTCCGGAGGCAGAGAGTTTGACCGGCACAGCCGAACAGATCTGTTCGACTGTTATATTTACCAGCCTTCCCACGAGATAGGATGTGGCATAAGGCCGAGTTTAATGTAGGGCAATCCGAGCCCGTATGTTCGGCCAAACATTCCCGGCAGATCCCGTATAAAACAGGGTCGCGTAGCTGTTTCCCGAGACGTGACACTGACCTTCGACATAGCCTCGTCTGGAGATCCGGAGGCAGAGAATATGATCAGAACAGCTTGAGACGAATCTCCAACTGCTGACCAACATACAGTATTTACTGCTGTATTTATATCAATGGGGACATACCAATTATCGTTCGTAGGTATGCTAATCACGTAGTTTGGTAAGTCCTGCCCCGTATATGTGTAAAACCCTAGAGAGATCAATTTCGGTCGTGTAGTTCACGACTTAAAATCTGTGCTAAAGAAAGGTCTAGTAAATCGACTCTCCGCCCATCATACGATCAAAACAAACTAACCTTTTTTATTTTTTTATTTTGTTTGTTTGTTTAGGGACATTTTGAAAGAAAAGGCCCTCATATTACTATCAGTTAATTACCCTTAGATCATGATAATGAGATGAAAGTGTACCGGTTTATTCAGTCAGTTATGTGCCATGCGTGATACATGCGTAGACGATCATGTACCTTTCGATACATGAGTGACGAGGCAATTATTTCTTCCTACAGTAGGTTGCCATTTCTTTCTGCGGTAGATCAGTTGCTATAGAACCCAGTCTGTTCTGTTATTTACGAATAGATGTGGGGAGAAGAAGAAGATTCATACCTTTTCTAAGGACATTAGCACGTAAGTGAATGTAATGGATTCGACTGGGATTCGAACTCGCATCTCCGATTCCTCGATCTGCTTTATTAATAATTTTTAAAAAATCAACTAGAAATCCCATGAAAATTTCACAGCTTTCCTGTTTGAATTCTGTGTTCTTATCTTACTGCTTTCTTTCTCTCTTTCGTTTAACTCGGTGAAACTAAGTAGCATCTCTGGTATGTCTTTTCCACATTTCCACCCGATCAAAACGGAATAGTTCCTTATTTATGGGGTATTGACAGAGCGTAACATACGTTACGTGTTAACTACTGTACTACGAGAGATAGACGCAGAATTATACGAATAATAAATAATATTGCTATGGCAATCGTTGTAATGAGCTCCTCTTTATCTATTGCATGAAATTAGAATGATTCTTTTACTGATACAAGTCTTGATATTTAACCCATAACTGGGGAGAGAACGTTATTCTCGGTAATGTGCATCTAACATTCCCAACGGAACCGACTAAAAGGAACAATACGTTATGTTACTGTGCTCTATTAGTGTACTCAAAAAATAGATGACTACTTATTGAAATAAATACTTTATTGGGTACTCTAGAACATTGGCCTTGTGGCCCAATTTATTTTTTTAAGCATTTCACCCCAAGCAAGGCGGGAAGCCACTAGCACGCAAGGGGTTCCAGAGAGTTGGAGCGAGACCAAAGAGGAATGATAGAGGAAAGGATGAAGAGAACGATACGGGGATAGATCATGGCAACTGGAGACGTCGATTGACATCACATTTGAATAGTTGGAGATTATAGCTATCAGGGAAACAAGAAATGGGGAGGGTGTTCCACAAGCGAGAAGTGCGAGACATGAAGCTATTAGAGTAGAAGAGACGGCTACATTTAACAGTTAACAGTGAAAGGGTGAGAGCGAGATGCCAGCCTAGTTGAACGCTTAAATTAATGAAGTCTGGGAACCAGAAAAAAGCAGTTCATCGGAGCAGTTACCGTGAAAGTATTTGTAAAAAAGACAAAGGAAGGCAACGACACGTCTGTGAGAGAGAGAGCCTGCAGATGAGATGCCAGATCTGGACCAATTACATTGCATATCCGTCTTTAGACTTTATCAAGTACCTTAAGACAAGCAGATGGGGCACCGGACCATATATGGTAGCAATACTCCATGGAAGGGCGAATGGTTGATTTTTAGATTTGAAGGATTAACAGTTTCGACAGTGAAACGTCGAGAGCGAGATGCTAGCCTAGTTGAACGCTTAAATTCATGACGTCTGGGAACTAGCGAAAGCAACTCATCGGAGAAGTTACCGTGAAAGTATTTGTAAAAAAGACAGGGGGAGGCGACGGCACGTCTGTGAGAGAGCGACTGCAGACGAGATGCCAGATCAAGGCCAATTACATTGCATATCCGTCTCTGGGTGTAATCAAGGACCATTAGACAAACAGAAGGGACCCCAGACCATTTATGGCAGTAATACTCCATACAAGGGCGAATGGTTGATTTGTAGATTTGAAGGATTGACTCCGGCGTGAAGAATTTCCTGGCGCGGCACATGGAGCCAACTTTCCTTGCGGTGGACGAAGCTATTGACTCAATGTATTTGTTCCATCTCAGATCAACAAACTAACAAGACTAGTAAATACCAAATACTCTTTTCTAGAGAGACAGTTTTTCACCATTACAACTACTTCATTAAATATAAATTACAAATTACTTTCATTTTGCTATTGACAAATAAATTATAAAAGTTAATTTCGAGTTGTGTTTTTTTTTCAAACAAACTGACGAGAAAGTTTTCGACAAAATATTATTTAAAGAGAAATTTATTACACTATTTAAATTATTCTCGCCAAAACATATAATTTAAAAGGGAATAAAATAAACATTAATTTTACATATTAAGGTAAAGAAATTATTGAAAAGAAAAAAAAATGACATTTTCAAATTGTATTCATATCCCCAAAATAAGTGACGCCATCTTACGTAGCCAACTTCTTGCCAAATATGACATTTCATTTACTTATCTTCGATCGATCATAGCTAGAAGCCAATAATGTATTCATATATGTATGTACGTATATATATATATATATATATATATATATATATATATATATATATATATATATATATATATATATATGATTTGCAAATTAGCATTGCTTGTTATTCTTTATTATGCGTTGGAATGCTCGGTCTTCTTACGCATTATTTATTTTATTAAATGCAAAGTTTTTATTCGATTTTTTAAAGATTTATTTCATGCAATTTATTTTATAATGATTTCATTTATGTTTCTTAGAATTTTACGTTTTACAATTAATTTTTTTTTTAACTGCGTCATTTCATTTAAGTAAACTTTGCTTTTCCTTCTCAAATGAATAATGTTACATATCTTGACATCTTTCGTCTATCTCTCACCTTCTCTCTCTATATCTATCTCTTTATCTATATAGCAACCTAGCTAAATAGATATCTCAGTCTGTTCACTATCTATCTATCTATCTATCTATCTATCTATCTATCTATCTATCTATCTATCTATCCCAGTATGTCCATTATCTATCTATTTCAATATGTTCATTATCTATCTATCTATCTATCTATCTATCTATCTATCTATCTATCTATCTATCTCAGTATGTCCATTATCTATTTCAATATGTTCACTATCTATCTATCTATCTATCTATCTATCTATCTATCTATCTCAGTATGTCCATTATCTATCTCAATATGTATCAAAGTGTATATTTTTCTTTCTTTATATGTATGTATGCATGTATGTATGTATGCATGAATGTATCTATCAATCTATGCCAGTGTGTATATATCAATATTTCCCAGTCAGTTCATACTATCTATCTATCTATCTATCTATCTATGATTACATATATCGAACAGCGCATTTCTGCCTACAATTTTATTTTTCATAAAGGTATACAAGAAAACCTTTATGAAGTCAAAATGTTTCATATGTGTTCCTGTCACTATAAGTTTTCAAAGGTTGTTTTGAAGAAACAGCCGACATTGTTTAGCGACACGTATTTCAACAAAAAAGTATATTTATTCGTGCTTTTGAAATGCAGTTCAGTGAATTAGGATGTTACCTTCAAAAAGAAAAAAAAATGTAATCGTTTCTGTAAATTTTATACTTTACTCAAGTCATGTTTGTATACATATATATATATATATGTGTGTGTGTGCGTGTGTGTGTATGTGTGCGTGTGTCTGTGTGTTTGTATGAAGTGTGGGTATATATTTATATGTGTATATACATGTATATATATACATATGCAAGCTAAAAGGAACACACATGCACAAGTCGATGGGAAAACATCTCTCATCAAACTATCTATCATCACCGGCCTTCATACCAAATCTAATGCTTTTTTAACACTTAGGCAGAAATTCCCTTTTGCTAACGGTCCTGAAGTGAAATAAGGGCTCACTAGCAAATACAAAAAAAAAAAAAAACAATGATACATTAAAAGAACATAAGGAAAATTTATTCCTTTAGAAATTGAATCCTATTATTTGTCTGAAGAATTTCACGAGATCGGAAACTCGTGTAGCAGAAATATGAAGAATAAAATATAATATTGCTGTATCCTTGAAGAGATTATAAACAAAGGTGGTACTCGAGTGAAGGGACACGCGTAGATGAAAGAAAAATAGGTTTATTGTAAAAAAGAAGACACTACTGAAAGACAGGAAATCGGGTGGTAGGCTATTAATTCCCTCAGCAATTATATGTACCAACCACGTCACTAGGTCAGAAGTGGCACAAGACCGAATTTAAAGTGGGGTTTCCGAGACCGTTGACTAGGCCAAAAATTCCCCGTATAAAACGGGGTCGGGTATCTGATTCCCGGGGAAGAGACTCTGCCCTTCGACATAGCCTCGTCTTGAGATCCTCTATGCCCGGAGGGAGTGAAATTGATCAGCGCATCATGAGACGGATTTCCAACTAATTCCCGAAGACAGGATATCTACCAACCGCCCCACGTGATCAGATGTGACACAAGGCTGAAATTAATGTGCGGTATCCGATCCCGTATGCTCGGCCTAAAATTCTCCGTATAAAACGGGGTCGGGTAGGTGTCTCCCGAGACGATACTCTGCCCTTCGACAGCTGTGGTCAGAAAAGGTGGACCCTATTCCAAGCAGCATGAGACGCTTTCTCTTTACAGTACGCCGTTTTCAATTAATACAACTCCTTTTATGCTTGACGTTTCGCTTCGAAAGTCCAGACATCATTCTCAAGATAGACCGTCGTGTAAAAAAATTGTGATTAATTAAACATAGCTTAGATGTTGCCCAAGGTCGGTGCACCTCGTAAGGATCGAACTCACTACTCTATCGTAATTGATTTAGTGAGGGAATTTGTTAACTATTGCACCATGAGGAAGTGCTCTAGGTGCATATAGTGAATACACCATATTTTTTTAAATTAATAATACTGAGGCTTACCACCATTGAAATACCGGTTCTAGTACGATCAATTAGTTAAGCAACGTCAGTACCTATATATGGGTGACCGCTTGGGAATACCAAGTGTTGAAAATTTGGATGTGTGGATGGTGTAATGGATATCGAATTGGAGTACAGAGTTCGAATTTCGGTCAGGTTCCTTATATTCAATTACAGCCAGTTTTATGATTTATTTATTAATATAAACAAAGCAATTTATTATAATTTGTATGATAAAGATAATAAGTCTTATATTTAATTGTTTTTCTGTTTATTATATATTAAACTTTAATGAAGTATCTTAACTGACCTTTTTTTTCTTTGGTGCTGTAGGCTTTGATTTGCTTCTGGTATATTGGATAATGGCATGGAATTAAAAATCGAAGTGCAGTGTTCAATTTCCCAGTCGTGTCCGCTATATTCCAGAGGAAAATATAAATTCACCTTTTCTTCTCCTCATCTATGGGTTAATTAGTTGAACTTGTATCAGTAAAATATTATTGTCTTACAAAAAATCCTTAAAATCTGTAAATATTTTCTAGTGTTAAATGACCTGAAAAGGTTGATAAACCGTAACAATCACACATCTTATTATAAAACACAGACTGTGTGTGTGTGTGTGTGTGTGTGTGTGTGTGTGTTATATATATTGGATCGGATTTCCTACATTTTTCAACCGATTTCAACAAAACTTCACAGGACTACGTAAAATTACCTTGCGGTGGTTCTGACAGCGCCCAAAATTGGAAAAACACAATTGTTTTTCCACGAAATCAATTAGAAAACACGATTAAGAGGCATTAATGAAAGGGGGGACAATTCATATCGAGTTATACTTATTAATATCGAGTTATACTTATTATAAAACCCAGGTTGTGTGTGTGTGTGTGTGTGTGTGTGTGTGTGTGTGTTCGTTTATATATGGGATCGGATTTCCTACATTTTTCAACCGATTTCAACAAAACTTCACTTTTTTTCGCAGATAATGTTTCTTATTGTCTTGCACACTTTTTTCTTTATTTTTACATTCAGAATGCTTTACAAATTCCATTTACAAGACAATTGTTTATAATAAAATTCTGTTCAATCGGTAAACTCATATAACGATTGAAAACAATGTTTTTGTTTGAGTTTGGGTTTGACCAATTCGTAAAAAAAAACAAAAAAAAAAAAACTAATTAAGACATGCGTGTCCGTCAACCTTAAACAATAATCTTTGTCAATTTTATTTTTCAGTCTTTATGATGGTGGATACTTGATCTATCTCTTACTGTTATATCCCCGGGCAACACCGAGCTCTACTGCTAGTCCATCAATAATAATTATTGACGTCACTTAGGTATGAAATCTATACACTGGAAATATATCTACTCACTTGAAGGTTCTTATTTATTTCATTCTCAAAATTCTCACGACTATTTTACTGTTGATTTATGCCAGTCAAACAGTAAAATGAAAGTGTATATATAGAATAAATGGGCACGAGTTGTTAGAACGATCGCGTTCTGACCATCAGACATGGGTTCGAATCTCACCATGGTCGATATGTCAGGAATGAAAACCTCCAGATATTATCGGACTGGATGGGCCGATCCCAGCATGCGGCACCTTTGGAAAGTACCTGAAAACCATACCACGGTTTGAGCCAAGGCTTTTGATTGAAATTGGGTAGAGGGAACCCTCGAAGGCCGTCGATAGCTGTGCTAGCACGAAGTCACAAGTCATCGTGGCCGAGGGCTTGTGCGTGCTTGTTCAAATTGTTGATCACGCTAGATAACACGCTCTTTCATAGAAACTAATGTGCGCTCAGTATAGTTGCAGTAGACGGTATCTGTGGGCTTTGAATAAACACAAATGTGCCTAAGCAAGCGTCTGCAATAGGGACTGGCTAACCGCCCGAGTAGACAGATATCCTCGAATACGATTGGCCGGCTATACATGCATATAGAATAGATGAATAGAGCTTTCATGTTTCGAACATTTTAAGCCATAATTTAATAATTTAAAATTTCAATTTAAAATCTAATTTAATAATTTAAAATATTAATTTAAAATTTGAAATAATATAATGATTTAAAATTTCAATTTGAAATTTAATTTAATACTTTAAAATAATAATTTAAAATGTGAAATAAGTTAATAATTTAAATTTAGTTTAATAATTTAAAATAATAATTTAAAATTTGAAATAATTTAATAATTTAAAAATTTATAATTTAAGCCATTTATTAGGTTGGTGCAAAAATAATGACGTTAAAAAATACGTCAAAAAACGACATTATTACGTCATTATTTTTGCACCACCCTAATAAAAAAAAAACAGACTTGCTGGCATTTTAAATTTGGTAGGGAAAAATGGCGAACGCCGTCGTCATTCACAACTAAAAAAAAAAAAGCCCGCCTTGAAATCCATGGGTTTCTTTTCCATTCCATTGAATCATATTCTTTAAAGTATAATCGACAACAAAAGCGAAATGGTTTAACGAATCTTGTATCCGAGATGCATAATAAGATAGTGCAAATTCTTGAAGGTTATCTTTTTTTTTTTTTTTTTCAAAATGATTTTAAAATATTCTTCCTTCATCTCTTTCAAGATGATATAAATAGTTTCTGAGAGGGAATCCCTTCAAAATCTCGACGTAAATGTAATTTAATCGAAAAAGTGATATTCACTGGCAAGGAAAATTGATTTATGATTAGAATCCAAACGAAAAAAAAGCCGTGGGGTACAGACATTATCAAACTGGTTATGAGAAGATATTTTCTGTGTTTCGTCAGGCTTTTACATGGATTTCATAGAACTGGTATTTATTCATACAAAAAGTATAAATTGTGGCACGAGTTTCATCATCATGCTATAAACACTTCCAAAACAGAACAAGAAACTTGTCGTAACTTATTGTGCAAACTTCCAGTGAGCGATCGGCATGTTTAAATGACGAATAGTAAGAAAACGTCATTTTCTGACGACATCACAATTGTCATAGAGAAATATTATTTAACAATCTCCATAAAGGGACCAATTTTTGACTGCACCAATTTCTAAAAAATCTATAATTATCAATATAATCGATCGAAACTTCTAAAAATTTCACGAGTTATTAAAAACTAAACACAGAATAAACTCAGGCGACCATGTATCAAAAGATTGACAAGGCAGATGTTTTCCCGCCATAGGTTGCTAGTGCTTTCTGCGGTAGACCAATTGCCATCCAAGGCTAAAGAACCCGGTCTGTCTTTCTATTTACCCATAGCTGGAGGGGAAAGATGAGAATTCATACCTTTTTCCCAAGAGTATTAGCACATAAATGAATGTAATAGATTTGACTGGAATTCGAACTCGGCTGTCCATTACCCCACCGTGCCTAAACTACTTATAGTAAATTCAGTAATTACTAAGAAATATTCGCATTTTCTTAGAAAATATGCAAATATTCAGCAAGGGGTAGCGAATAATGCTGTCCACAACCTTAAGTTTATATACAGTGTAACCCGGATGTAAGAGAGTTGTCGGGACCGGAGA